AGGTCTGTAATTTATAATAAATTATTAAAAAAGTTATAATATTAATTATATATTATTATTTTTAGTATTTTAAAAAAGCAACAAATTATATTGAAGGTCAATTATATCCTACAATAACATTTAGTGTAGCAATTTATAATTATTTATTAAATAAATTAGAAGATATAATTGATGATATAATAGAAGAACCAACTATTCAAAATGCAGCAAATGCAGCAAAATTAAAAATTCTTAAATATTATCCATATACAGATAGACATATATATACTATTGCTACTAGTAAGTTTAATTTAAATTTATTTAATATATTTATACTAATTATTATTTATTTAATAGTATTAGATCCTAGATTTAAATTAAATTATTATGAAGAAAATAATTGGAAATCTAAATATATTATTAATGCAAAAGACATGATTACTAAAATTTGGAATCAAAAATATAAAAAGATTAAAATTTCAAATATGATTTAGCAACAAAGAAATGATACAAATAATGAAGATGATGAAATTTTTTTACATGTATATAAAAAAAGAAAAATAGATACCAAAGATGAGCTTGAAAATTATCTTTCTGAACCAAAAATAGATACTAATATAAATATTCTTTTATGGTGGAAGGTAATAAATTTAAATATAATAATAATTATAATATAATAATACTAATTTTATTAAATATATTATAGACAAATACAATAAAATATCCTAATTTATCTAAAATAACTCAAGATTATTTGGCAATTTTAGGTAAAATTTTATTTAATTAATTATTTTAATATTTATTAATAAATTTAATTTTTTTTAGCAACAAGTACATCAATAGAAAGAATTTTTTCTAGTAGAACAGATATAATTATTTCAAAAAGAAGTAATTTAAAAAGTGAAACAATTAACAAAATTATATGTCTTAAAAGTTAGTTAAAATTAAATATAAATAATTAAATTTTAAAAAATTAATATTATTAAATTTTATAATAAAATTATATAATTAACTATAAAATTTTATAATATATAATATTTTATATATAATATAATTTTTAAATATCAATATAATATTTTTATAATAATAATATGTATTTATAATAATATTTTTATAATATATATTAATATATATATAATTTTTATTAAATTAATATTAGTATTATAATATTAATATTATATTTATAATATTAATATAATATTTTTATATATATTTTTTTTTTTTTTTTTTTTTTTTAATCTTTGGCAGCCTTGCCGGTCACCTTTATTAAGATTCTTGCATACACAACTTTG